TGTCATCTGTACAGCTTTTATTATAGTAACAACACCTGTAGGAAATTGGTCCTCTACCAATGTCATCAGCAAACTGAAACTGGTCCTCAAGAATAAATGAATAATTTGTGTAAAAAAAAAATACTGAACTTATTTAACCTCAAAACCTATGGCTTAGTTTAGCTTGAAACATCAATGCAATTTTGGCTTAATGTAAATTGCAATTTTTAGGTCTCTTCAGGCTGACGTATCTTTGCAGTTTCTTTCCTGTTGAGCTGAACTTTTAATATAAGAGCAGAAAAAGGAAAAAAAAAAGAAGTTAAAAGTCGACGCCATTTTGTCCACCGTAAAAAAAAAAACACAAATTCAACATACACTAAGATCAAAAAAACGTCACTGTTAAGCAAATAAGTCTATAAGGCAGGTGAAAAAATTAATCTGTAGAAAGTAAACAGGAAAAAATGGTGAGTAGAAAAAAAAATGAAAAAAATTATAAGATCTTTTACTCTCACCAAATCAACCGAACAAAAATGAATGTGTTTATTACACCTTAGCGTTTGCTTGTTATCCCATTCATCATCTGTCATTCCTCTTCCACTGTCCTTCAATATCTTGGTTCATTGACAATACAAAATAAAAAAAATGTATATCTACTACTTGTAAAAAATGAAATGAAGATAATAAGAAAAACAAAAGAAAAAAAGAAAGTTCTATTTGTATTTGAATCAGCCAAACATATAACAACTAATATCATATAAGTTCAACACAAAAAAAACAAAGAACAAACTGACAGAAACTGACGATTGCAAAAAGTGTTTTGATAGATGAAATTAAAGTTGTGCAGAATAATATCAATCATCCTCCCTCTTCTTGTTTATTTCACTCTTGTATTTTATTTACTCCGTTTAATGTTCTGTACGAACACAACTAAAGACCAGATGTATGCCAAACAGTTCTTTCAGACTAAAATATTTATGATTGTTAGAAGCTTCTAATAATAAAATAATAAAAAAAAGCAATTTTTTTTTTTACATTGAGTATGGTAATCTTCTGAATTAGAAAACAAACATCTTTGCACCCTCTGACCAATTCCGTCTTAAAATATCAAATTGAACTTCACTGTTAAAAGGCAAATATTCCATTTATATGTATGTACCCGATTAGTTTAACAAGTTTTTTTTTTAATGTATTACTACCTGCTTTCTTCCCTGAAAATGCAAAGAAAAATCAAAAAAAAAAAAAAAAGAAAAAAATACAAAGAAAAAAAGCAAGGTTATTTTAAACTAATTGTATTTTAAGAGCTCAACAATGAACAGTTCAGTTTTCCAGTCTTCCCTACGCGCTTTTTTAATTCACCTACAATCTCGTCCCTCAATTTCCAATACCTATTCATCTTCATCTGCTAATACTCGCTGTTAATCAATCCGTACTACTTTCAGAAATAAAAATTAGAAAAACTGTTACAGAAATGTAAGCATAAAGTGAGTGCTACAATGTTTGAAAAAAATTTAGATGCAAAAGAATTGTCAAACCCATCACTCTTCCGCAATCTTCCCCCCTATGTTCTCCATTTCCCCGCTTCCCTGGGCTGCTCTGTTCTCAGAAGAAAAAAAAAGAAAAAAAAAAGTAGAATCAAGGAATGAATTGGAAGAAATAACAAAAAATAAATAATGACAGCAACAAAATTAATAATAACGGCAACGACAACAACGTTTACTGCAACAACTCCAAGTACAGCGGCAACAATGGCAATAACTATGACCAGAAGAACTACTACGACAGTCATGACAACGACAACAGAAAGGACGGCGACAGCAACGGCAACCAGAAGAAGAAGAACAACAACAACAGCTTCGCTGGTACGAGACGACTGTGATTACCACAAAGTAGAAGGACATGTAAATTGTTCAAAAATCGTAACAGTAATATGACGAGTATGAAAAACAGTAGGTATAAAGCTGGTCTTGAAGGTTATTTTAAAGCGACAAAAGAAAAAAGAAAGGAGAGTAATCATACTTTCTACTCTTAAAACAACAAAAACAACAACAACAACAACAACAACAACAA